GGGTTGTGAAGGGCTTTAAAAGTGAACTGGAAGATTTTATATTTGGTCCTAGAGGAAATAAAGAGTCACTATAGATTATTTTGAGAGCTATGAGATGATCCGAACTCCACTTCAGGAGAATCACTTTGGCAGCCATGTGGAGGAAGATTGAGCCTTGGTCAAGTTATTGTTGTTGGGGCAATTAGGTGGTGCAGTGGATAGAGCACGGGCCCTGAAGTCAGGAGCACCTGAGTTCAAATCTCAGACCAAACACTTGACATTTACTAGCTGTGTGACTTTGGACAAGTCACTTAACCCCAATTGCCTAAAAAACAAAACCCAACAAGTTACTTTCCTTTTCTGGACCGTAGTTTCTTAATATGTAAATACATACGTGTGAGTGTGTGTGTGTGTGTGTGTGTGTGTGTATACACTAATAGATGAGCTCTAGAGTTGTGCATCTAAATGCCTAGCAACATCTTAGCGACAGAGGCTTTCATCCACTTGACTTTTCCTGTGTGGATAGCTAGGCCAAACTCTTTTGAATGGCTACGGATCTCTTCCAGGAGATTCTCCAGTATTTTAGGGATTGATAGAATTTGAAAGGAGAATTTCACTATCATTAGGGAATCCTCCTTCAACTTGGATTCTCTGCTGGATCTCCTCCTATAAAATGGGCTTAATAATTATATTATTTATATATTAAATATTATCATAAAAATAAGTAAAATGGGCACTTAACTTCTAGGGTTGCAAGATCAAATGAGAAGTATTCATAGTGCTTAGCACAGTGCCCAGCACATAGTAGGCACTTAATAAATGCTTATTCCCTTCCTTTCTCCCCTTTCCCCATCATAGTGGCAAACGTCTTTGGTAAGCAAATTCCTCTTTTGTGTCACATCTGATATGTAGGATAAACACTGAATAAGGTTCTGTTGTTATATCTTAACAGATGGCAAGTTTTTAAACAAAGTAAATGTATTTTCCTAATGTAAATGACTGGGTTCTCCTCTACGTATTTCAGTAAATTATATAATGGTAAATATGTGTCATACAGACACACACACACACACATTCTCTTTTGGACTATCACTTGTGAAAGCCTGCCTTTTTTTTTTTTTTACTAATACCATCAATGATGATTCCTTCAGTGAGCATGCTGATGCTTCTCATAAATTTTTTTATAGATGGGGAAGTAGATATATAGATCAACAATTGTTGGTGTTCTTGTTTTGTTTTTTTCAGTATTTATAGGGTTTGAATTTCCTTTTTTCCTGTTTTTGGTATCTTTTTCTCCAGCTATCTTGTGAATAAATTTTTCAATATCTTCACAATTGTGTTACACACATCTCTATCTACACTTGGCCTAATACAGTTGTTTCCATCTTTGTTTTCTTCAGTGCCATTTACACCTCTTCTAAAAGCATATCCAAGACTCTCATTCTAGAATCAACAGAGTGGTTCCACTGTTGCTTAACGCTGGATGGTGAAGCTACTTTATTTCGAAAAATTTCACAGATCTTTTCCATTCCCCGCCCCCCCCCAATTTGTTGCCTTCCTTATATTTTGTTCTTAAAATCCCTAGTATGATTCTGCTTAGTTGGGTCTCTCATCAAGCTTTCTTTACACTAGTTTTACCTTACATTGCTTCTCTCTACTCTGCAAGATGCTAATCCTTTATAATCACCCATTGTAATAGACCTAGTTCATAATTAGTGCAAATAATAAGTCTTATGAAGCAGTAATATTATCCAAATTTGGGCATATTTCCACTGGATTAGAATAAATCATATTTTCATAACTTCGAATAGTGTTTAGTTGAATACATGTAACCAATTCATTGGATTATTCACAGGAATTGAGCATTACAAACTAGTTGACATTCTAAACTATTCTTGCTATTGACTTCTGTATTTCCCCACTTGACAAACAGATCAAGTGTTTGCTTAGTGTCTTGTATCCTTCTTGTAAAATCAATTGATTTACATCAGTTAAAATTCTGTATGAAATTGTTGCAGTCAATGTCCTTCCTTTCACAATAGATTTTATCATAATTTCTTTAAATAGATCAGGGTTATTGTTTAAATTGGATACCATGTATTTTCTTATTTTTGTTCTTCTTTCTTGCCTTGTGTTCATTTACATTTTTGCTCTAACAAGCTGGTAGTCAGACTGTATAGAGAGCTGATTTAGTAACATCACCCACATCATAACAACTCATTTCCAGTCTATTAAAATATAATCAGTTTCATTTTTGTAATGCTTATTGTGTCCAGAGTCTACCAATTTTTTCCCCTTTTAAGTATTCGAGACACAGGCATAAGGCAGCTGTTAGCTTCTCATTCCTTACTCCTGATCATAGGATCACCCATATTTTCCAAAGTATTTCTCACTGGTTTTTTCTACTCTAACCTTTGCGTTGCTTTTGCTGGATATTAAAGTATATGTTAGATTTAAATTGCAAGCTACTGACTTCATGGAGGTTCTTTTCCTTCTTTGCAAAAGATATTTGTAGAGAAGCTGAAATTACATTTACAGTGACATTTTTTGCAAATGTGTACATGAGCAGTACAATATATGATCAAATGTCTGATGATTAAATGTGGCTTTGGGCACACAATAAACCAACCCTGCCAATCCCTTTGTGTTTCAAGGACTCCAAGCCACCTTTCTATTTGGGTGCAACTTCCTTATCCTGGTTTTGTGTATAGTAAGAATGTCAAGATTAATACAATTCCATTTTTCTAGTATGCTTATTCGTTCATTGGTCAGTTAACATTTAAAGCATGAATAGCCAAGTTAAAGTTTACAGACCCTCTGAAAACTGATTCTTGGAACCATCTTTTTTTTCTGCCAATTCCACTGCAGAAGCAGAAAACCCTACATGATAGTTTGTATTTCCATTTCAAGGGTTGTTGTAGTCATGGAATTCACCACCAAGTGGCCAGCTTCTTGATAATTAGCTTCTCCGAATTTAAAAGTAGGCTGGCCCTCAGAAGCAGACTTGTTCTATTGCTGAGACTGACTGGAACAGCCTTTGAGAGCCTAAAGTCACCTTCATGGACATAACAAGGCATTAAGAGTAATGGTGGAATGTCAGTTAACCCTGAAAATGGATGGTGCCATTGGCCATCTGTGAACAGGATCTCAACATGGAAGAAATATACTCTTCCTTGAGGTCAGGCCATAACTATCCAAAGGACGAGAATATTATTCACAATGACACAGCAAAGAAGTGTTCAAATGTGTAAGTCTGTTTCACTTTTTTCAACCATGACAACTTTAATTCTCTTAATTCTTTTTCTTTTTCTCAAAAAGCACAAATGCTAGATACTTGGTTTTTAGGTCATCAGTAAAGTACTTACCTGTGTCTAAAGAAAATACACTATTGATTCTTACCTTCAAACTCTATATCCATTTTTTGTGTTGTTGTTTGGTTATTTCAGTGTCCAACTCATCATGATCCCATTTAGGGTTTTCTTGGCAAAGAATGGTTTGCCATTTCCTTCTCCAGCTCATTTTACAGATGAGGAAACTGAGGCAAACAGGGTTAAGTGACCTGCCCAGGGTCACGTAGCTAGTAATTGTCTGAGGCCTGCTTTGAACTTGGATCTTCCTGACTCCAGCTCCAGTGTTTTATCCTTTGCACCACCTAGCAGCCCCCATTTATTGCTACATTCATTTTTAAAAAATCATATTGTATATTTTATGTGTTTAGCAAAAAAAAAAATTATAACGAGAACTAAAATGCTTTTCTTTTATTTATACTCATAACAATGTTAGTAAGCAATGTCAGTATTCAAATGGACTTATTTCATTATTTTGAGTATTTCCTCTGGTGAAGCAGACCAAAATCCATCATGCTTGCCCATCTTCCCAAAAATTCCCTTATGTAAGGTTTGACACAGGTAAATCCAATGTACTAAGGGCCTTTCATACTTTTTCCTGATATTGCAAGCATACATGGAACCTGAGGGCTGTCCATCATTTATTCCTCACTCTCACCACACGATCCGTCTTTACATTTTATCACATGTCTTTGATAATATATTTAAAAAGGTAAATTTTAAAATGGTACATGTACTTTCTGAAATGTACTACAAAACAATTTTTCTATAGAACTACTTATTTCATATAATATAAAGTCATTTGGATTTAGTGAATGACTAACACATATTTGCAATCCTTATCAACTTTTATTTATTTCAGTCACTTATAAGCTTGATAACATTGGTCCACATCAAAAAGTAGGAATCATCCATTTTGCAATCTGTAGAATGAAATTGTAACATCAACCTTACCAACTAATATGGGAGTTGAAAAACAGACATTAAAATGAAAAATGGATTTCCAACTCAAGCCATTCCCAAAAATACCACCATACAGAAAAGTATGTCTATGTGCATAACTATAAGAATTCACAATACCATATGCTGACAGATGAGAGTATTTCAGAGTTGGCAGGAACCGAAATGACATTTAGTCCAACCCCCTCATTTTACACAAGGGGAAACTGAGGCCCAAAGAGGTTAGTGACTCCTCTAATGTCACATAGCTACACATGGGATGAGGTGGAATTAGAACCCTGATCTCCTGGGTCCAGTCCAGTCAAATACTCTACATGTTTCCTTTCCTAGGTCATAACCACCTCTTAATAGATCACCCAACTTTCAGAAGAGGTTAAAAAACAGTTATCCTCTGTCTACGGGAATATTTTTCTAAAACTATGTGTTTCCCCCATTTTAGGACTTTTGTAGATCATAAAAACTTTCATCCAGTAACTGTGTTTAAGATATTTACATCACCTTAAGACATTTACAAGTAGTTCATAATACATAACAATCTAAAGATGATTTCTACCCATACTGTTAAAGAACTCAGCAAAAAATTTCTATTATACTTTCAGTGCATTTGTTTCACATAGATGAGCAACACAGGCTAACATTTGTAAATATTTAAAGTATTTCCAGTGCATATTTCCAAATTTAAAATGGAATGAAATCATTTTAATGCCACTGTAATAACATAGCAGAGTGAAGGATTTATTGTCACATTTTCACTTAAATATTACCACTTTGAAAAATGGTTACAAGTACACACAAAATAGAAAACAAATCTTGTCTTTTAATACATTTTAAATACAATATCCACCTTAAACCATACCAAAAGACTTATCTTAATACAATATGGGTGGTTTCCATATTATTTTATTAGGATGGCACAGAAAAAGGTTAATCCATTCGGATCTTCTGATTTGTCATCCTATAAATAATGCTATCGTATCCAGGATCCATGTTCCACAAGCCATAGGAGATGATGATCACAGCTAAGGCTAAGCCCAGCATTATCCAAAGAATTATGTTGAAGACTACTGCATAATTTACATTATATGTATACGCAAGATTATATGGATTTCCTGGATTGTTCTATAATTAAGTAGAAAAAAAAGAAAAGATTTGAACATAGAAAGTTACCTCATTGTCACTTTAAAGATTATAACATGTCAGGAAGGCACAGGCAACATAGTGCTGCTAGGAATGTTAGGTCTTAACTCCCAAAGAAATTTCCATTTTCATCTACTACCATATTTTACATAAATCAAATTTCATATCTGTACTAATTAGGAAGTGATATTAATATAATTTGAAGTACATCAAAATCAATGCTATATCTTCATTCTCTATTCACCAAATACACTTAATTTTACTTAATTTTTTAAAAAATAAAGAGAAGAAACTTTCTATGTAATAAAGAAGTCTAGCATCAGTTGTAAACGAATTCTATCACAATTAAGCCAAATGCCTGAGGGATGAACTCATAGTTCACCTTTAAGAACCAAGACTGTCTAGAGCAAGGAGATGTGGTTTGGGAAGTGAATTTCAGATATAAGGCATCAACCTGCAAAGTAATGTTTTTCTGTCTGGTTCCCTGAACTGCAAAGACTTTCCTAAGCCACTAGTAGACATGACTTGTTAACATTTTAAAAACTATAAATTAATAAATATGAGTGCTCAGCCTTAAAATTCTCTTCAAAACTAAAGTGCACGTATCAGTGAACTCCGGGCTATCTACAAGTGGGTTATTATTTTAAAATCCTTAATTCCACTTCCCAACAGAACTGGATAGGGAGAAAATTGTGGTTGGACATGGAGATGACTATGTGTATGAGTAAGTATATATCTGACTTTATTCAAAAGTCATATATATATCAACAACTCACTGTTTTGAATGACCTATATTACCATTCTTCTAAATGAGTATTTAGAGAATACTAAAGGAACACACTAAAGAAAATAGGTATTTTAAATTATGTTTCTATACTTGAGTCTTAAAAATGAAGGGATCATATCCTTAGACAGTTAAGTCTCCAAGGAAAAATATACACATTTTCACCATTAATTTCTAATACTGTAATTACATAGCAATACAGTATGAGCATTACCTTATTATTTCTGAACCATTTCCCTTTCATCCCTGACCCTAACCCATATGGAAAAATCAAGTGTTTACCAAACGAAAATCTAGTTCCAACCAAAAGGAGAGATGGTTCAAAATCACTAGTATGTTGCAATTCAACAGCTTTAATTATAATCAGCTTAGATTCAATGCATTTAGTACAGCAGCTTCAAAGTGAATTATGATTTGGTTAGGAAAAAAAAAGTATATCTCTTGATTCTAAAGCAGTATATAAAACGCACTTACATTCTGTTTTGCCTGAAGAATAGAACGTGTCTTTCTCACAAGGGGGGAGTCAAACGACTTTACTGTTACTACTTCCACTACTGCATTCCCACCATAAAGGTCATACATGTCATCTGCAAACTAAGAAAGATTACTTATTTTACTATTAAAATTAAACAGAATTGTATAAAATAATCTGAGTAGGTGGCACTGTGAAGAAAATTTGGTTAACTATAAAGTTGAAATTTGAAGGGGAGAAAAATGAAATAAGGTGGAGGAACTGGAAGTCATAATAAGGGAGAAGAAAAGTATAGAAAAGGGAAAGGCACAATGAAGAGAGAGAATGATAGGGTATGATAAGATACAGGAATGTCAAGAGTTTTTGATCACAGATGAAAACTTGTAGGTAATGATGAGATCCAGGACAAGATTTTCCCTATGTGTGGCTGAGGTAGAGTAAAGGCATAAGGTCATGGAATTTGACGAGACTGAAGAAGTCAGAGGTTAGAGTACTGACAGAGGCGTCAACGTGAATGATAAAAATCCCCTTGTAAAAGTGCACAAGTCAGGAAAGGGAGGAAGACAGTGAGCTAAATACTAAACTCTGAGAAAGGTGGAAGAATGACCTAGGGACCAATGGTGATGACCACCATGTATTGGGTAATCTATTTTGATAGAGTAAATTTTCAAAGAATGAGGGGTTGCTGAGTGATGGCGGCAAAAGGAAGAGTCTGGACATGGCAATGGGGAGCAAGGACTATTCCAATTTCCCTCTCAGTACTGATAGGGAGTAGGAGATAAGAGAAGGGGCAGCTAGTGCTAGAGAGGATGGCCAGGGGTGTCATGCATCTGGAAACACCAGGTCTCATGCCTGACAGAAGGACTATGAGAGGAAAAGGTACAAAATGAAGGGAAGTTTATTATAATGATTTCTCTGTGATGTTAACATTCCTGGAGTCTAAGATCTTAAAGGAGTTTCTTCCAAGTCTGTTTTCATCTATCATCACTACTAAACTAACTGATTTAAATAATCCACTGAAATACCACTATCTCAAATAATAGCTCAAGATTATTTAAAGACAACAAAATGATGGAGGAATACAAAAGGCTAGCAATAACTACCCTCCTATCTACTCCAGATCTCTTCCAACATGTTTATTGCATTCTTTGAAGACAATGTTTTATGTTCTGATGTTAATTTTGTACATCCCCCCCTTGATATATATTTTTTAATATTTATATTTTTCTCATTATTTGAGGATTTTAAAAACTGGAGGCAGAATTCAATAGCCATCTCTTTCTTTCCTTGATTAATGAGTGGTCAATGGGAACTTTCCCCTTAAGGATCATTTTGCTACATCTGGCAAATATTATCTTCTCATTATATTAAATGGAGTGATAATTATTTTTCTGTAATTATTCTCTGACCCATTCATTATCTGGATATTATTTAGTTCCCATTTAAGTCTATATCTTTTGCTCAAATTTCCCCTATGGCTTTTAACCTCTTTTGCTACAGTTTTTAAAGAACGCATGTAAACATTTTTGCCTACAGATTTTTTTCTTTTTTGCTTTTTGATGAGGCAATTGGGGTTAAATAACTTGCCCAGGGTCACACAGCTACTGAGTGTCAAGTGTCTGAGGCCACATTTGAACTCAGGTCCTCCTGACTCCAAGGCCAGAGCTCTAATCACTACACCACCTAGTTGCCCCTAGATTTTTTTTTAAATGACCTAGCACAAGATCAGATTTTGTAAAGGTTCCATATGATAATGAAAAATAAGTATATTCTTAAAGATTCCTATTCAGTAATAACTAATGGCTAGCATATTTAATGTTTCCAATGTTTTGTTCAAATACATGATTTCCTTTTTGTTTCCAAAATAGTGTAGTAGGATTAAGGTAATGACTGTGGAAGTTAAGAAAACCTGGGTTTTCAAATCCCACTAAGATACTTATGAACTATGTGACTCCAGACAAACTCCTTAATTTCCCTGTGCCTCATTTCTCTCTTCTGTAAAATGAAGGTATTAGACTCAAAAGCCTCTAAGGTCTTTTCCAGCTCAAAATCTATCATCCTATGATATATCTGTTACATATACTTAAGTCTAAACATCGCATATTGAAATCTCTTTCAATGACTAATTATTTAGCTTTTTTCAATTCAGTTAGCTTTTTTAGTAAGTTGGTGGGCCATTCAGTATATAAATATGTTACAGTGGATTGAGAAGCCAAGAGGTCCTGAGTTCAAGAGTTTCTGACACATTCTGAACCAGTCACTTAACCTTTTAGCATTGTAAGCAACTCTTTAAAATTACAAGTTGCAGAAAAAGTACCAATCTTCAGTGGAAGAGAAAGTTTTCTTAACCAGGAGTTCCCTTTATCATGATCCAGCAGATCCAGTATTTTTTTTTTATTGAGAGAAGCAGGATGGCATGATGGGTAGAGCGATGACCACGAGACAGGAAAGACCTGATTCACAGGTCACCTCTGGCTTTGTAACCCTGGGCAAATTACTTAATTTCTCATTGCTTCTGGCAACTCCAAGCCTCTAAGTTAAAGACAGGATGCCGATCTACATTAGAGGAGAGAATTTCTTTACTGGTAGTTCCCTTCAGCAATGAAATCATAAGTACAGGGGAAAAAAAAGTTTCATTTTGTATGGTAGAGGGGGCAGAATCAAGATGAGGGTTAAGGGGAGTCAACATTTCTATCTAGTTTCCCCAATACAACTCCTCCACAACAACCCAGAAAATGCACCAAACTGAATTTTGACCAAGAAAGCCAGGAAAAAGTGAGTCATTTTTCCAGCAAAGGGCAGTTTAGGAAGACAGACAGGTCTGTGGACAGTAAGGTGGGGGCTGGCTGGGACAATAAAGATCACACAAGATTTAGCAGCCACCACCTAAAAGAATGTAGAGTTTGGAATAGTATATTATAGAAGGCAAAAAGTATCTAGGGTCACAACCAAGAATAACCTATCTTGCAAAACTAAATATAATTCTAATGGGGAAGAGGGAGAGAGAAAGGGAAAGAACTAATTAATAGAGTTCAAGCATTCCTGATGAAAAGACCAGAGCTGCATCGAAAATTTGACATTTAAACACAAGAGAAGCAAGAGAAGCATAAAAAGGCAAATATGAGACAGAACTGTAAGGGACTAAAAAAGATAAAACTGTTTACAATTTCTACATTCAACCCCTTAGAAAAGGGCTCTTAGAGGGAGTTTAATTGGGAGGACAGCGGGGCCTGGGTATGACACTATTATGCTGGGATGATCTTAAAGTAGGAATGGAAGGGCTAGACTCTTAACTATTAGAGGAATGCACTGGGGGATGAGAAAAGGGAGAAGAAAAAAAACAGGAAAAATTACATAAATAGGGCATGAAAGGAAGAGTTTATACAATGGAGGGGACGAGGCAACACTTAAGCCTATCTAAACTGGTTCATGAAGTGAAGAATAAACATACACCCACACAGCTGAGTACAGAAATTCATTTTACACAACAGGAAAACATGAGAGAATACTGGGAAGAATGGGAATAGAAAGGAGTATACCTATTTCCCAGCCCTGCATGGCACCTTCACAAAAATTACATTCAGTAAAGAGCCTAGGAAATATAAATTTAAAATTTACTGGAAACCAAATAACTTAATGCTAAAAAATGAATGGATCAAAGAACAAATCATAGAAATAATTAACAATTTCATTCAAGATAATGACAACAATGAGATATTGAAATCTGTGGGATACAGCCAAAGTAACAGGGGAAAATTGTATCTCCAAATGCTTATTCAATAAAAGAAAGGCCATACCAATGAATTGGGCATGGAAGTAAGAAAACTAGAATAACAAAAACCTCCAGCTAAACAACAAAATTGAAATCCTGAAAATCAAGAGGAAGATGTATAAAACAGAAAATAAATAACCACTAAATTAATAAAACTAGGAGCTGGTTTTATGAAGAAAACTAATTAAATAAATCACTGGCTAATCTGACTTTAAAAAAAGAAAGCAAACCAAGTTACCAGTATCAAAAATGAAAAAGGTGAATTCACAGCCAATGAAGAAAAAATAAAAATGACTATTAGGAATTGCTTTGCCCAACTATATGCCAATAAAACTGACAATCTAAATAAAATGGATGTTTAATATAAAAATATAAATTCCCTACATTAAAATAAGAGAAAATAGAATACTTAAATAACTCTATCTTAGAAAAAGAAATCAAATCATTCATAAAGGAATTCCTTAAGAAAAGTACCCCAGGACCAGATGGATTTACATTATCTATGGTACTTTAAGCATAAGGTACTTTCCTTGTTTATTTTTCTTGGTACTATTTTTACTACTGCCTCAGTTTTATCTATTGGTAAAGTCACCTTTTGTATAAAGTCGGTAAGGATCTGGGAAGCATCTTTGAATTGCTGAGAATCTTCTCCATAACGTTTTCCAATTTCATCCAAGCCTGCCAGCTCCAGAGAATACAGGTCAGGAGAATGATCTTTGGCTAGATGCTTGTGTCGGGACAACTTAGGAAAAGGTTACAGAACAAATAACATTGCAAATATATTCATTTAAAATTTAATGTCAAACTAAATTTCATACATAATTGAGCTAAGTCGGATACAATTATAATCAAGATATTTAGTAACTTCCCAACTAGTTCCCTGAGACTATAAAAAGATGAGCATCATATTACAGTCATGACATCAGTAGTTTGATAAAAGTAGTAAGCACTCTTCATAAAATCTAAGGGGAGTAATGATAATTCCTAGACATATAATAAATATTCTCTGGTCATTTAAATATTAATTTCTACTGCAAACTGCCTGCTTACTATGTTAAAAAAAAACCTAACACAATATGCTAAGTAATTATTATATAACTAAACAAACAGATGGACTGATACTTTTTTTGTAATGAGGTCTATAGTAGAACTACTCATGCCCTTGACACTTTCTTTTCCAAATTCCTACAACTAAACACCAGTGGAGATTTGGGAAATAAGTGTAAATCTCTACTTTGATCAATTTGAATCATGACTAAGATAGAAAAATATACCTATGCATGAAAGTAAAAAAAACATATCACTAAAAAGCTTTAGAAGCAGATCACTGATTTCAATGACATAATTATGAAACTAAAAGTCAACAAGTAGTTCAAATGCTTATTTACGTCTTATGTGACCCTTTTGGGTCTAAACTTGATTTCAAATACATGAAATTTTTTTCTAAGGGGGAGTGGGAGTTGAGGATGAGATGTGATATACTAAACAGTCCTACGATGCCATCTTTCTAGGAAATTCTAAGTATGCAAATCACCAATGCAGTCAAGCAATCCCTCTGTAATTTATAGTCTTTGACAGATTCTTGGAATAGTAAGAAGTCAAGTAACTCATCCATGATAACAGATCTAATATATGTCAAGAAGCAAGACTTGAAGCCAAGACTTCTTAACTCCAGAGCTAGCCACCTACCTCTGCCTCTATCCACTACACTATACTTGCTGTGCATGTGCATGCATGCACACACAAACACAATTCTCTTGAATACCTCATAAATGTAGACTTGTTAAACAGTGTCCCCAAAGTCTTGTACTGTGTTAAGCTTTAATAACAGAAGTGTAAGTGTTACAAACTATAAAAAATATAATTTGAAAGTTTAATTATTTAAATTTCTTTACACTTAAATTCTGCGAATTCTGAATAATAAGTCTTTCAGTTCAACAAGGTTGCCATTATTTATGTATTACATGTTGGACAGTTTCCAGATGACACTTTTTCAGACCCATGGATTAAGGCTAGGATTTTAAATGCAATCATGTCAGTCGCTGAGCAATAGATGATTAAAGTTTTTTTTACAAAGCTCAAAAATCAACTAGAGTGAGATGTATCACACAAGATGGTGGTCATGCTGAATTTAACAATATATTATGATTGTAAAAATTTAAATAACCAGCCTTTGAAATATTTTTTTGTAAGTCTGTAGCATTTATAATTCTTAAGTTATTAAAGCTTAAAACTTCTCTAAGACTTTTGGTACATGGTGTGTATGTGTGTGTGTGTGTGTGTGTGTGTGTGTGTAAATGCATGTGTGTGCATGCGTGCCATTGATGGTCATTCAAGAGAACAGAACAGGATGAAGAGAATACTTGGTAACTGTACCTCTAATTTTGCTACTGATTTGCGGTGAAAACATGAATAAAACTTGGTTTCTTTGCCTTCGTGTTCACATAAGTGGCACCACGGTGGAGTAGTGGGGGAAGATCACTGCCTCACTCACTTCTAAGTTATAGAAGGGCTGCCTAGCTGCTTTATAAACTATCCACTCATGCTACACGAATTCGAGAAAAAGAAAAAGGGTTAAAAGCATGCAAACTGCTGCTGAGTTGTCAAAGCAGGGGAAATGCATACCCTGATCTCACTGCTAAAAATCTAACAGACCAGCTATTTAATTAAGATATACACCTAAACACCTAAGAGGTAACATGGCATAGTGTCTAGAGAGCTGGTCTTAGAGCCTGGGTTTGAGTTCCACCACTTGACACATACTGGTTTTATAACCCAAGTAAAATCACTTCTAACCTCTGTGTCTCAGGCACAGTTTAGTTCCTAACTAGGAGCTCCCTAGACCGATGAAATCACTGGGATAGTTAAAAAAAAATACATAAACACACACACAAATACATGATATGAATAATATATTAATATAGCTATAACACATGCAAATTCTATCCAAATCTATGCTAACTTCAGATATAAAATCAATGATAGTTGTGATGGGACGTTTATCAGATATGTCAAGTCACATATTCCAATCAGTTTTCCTAGTCACCCACCAATCTTTTAGAGACTTTCTTGAAAACTACCTTCTGGAACACAAAGGGGAAAACTGGGTATTTTTAGAAGTTTTGTTTTAACATCAAAGTTGCCTGCTTACCAAAGTTGCAATATCATGTAGAATTTGTAACTCAGAGAAAAATAGCAAATCAACCTAGAAGACCAAAATAAAATCAGTATTAGCTTTCATTTTAGCAGAAAAATGGGTCAACCGAGACTGTTTGCTAACATTTAATAGGGAAAACAATTTTGTAGACATATATAAAATTATACATAGCCTTGATCCTCTGTGAATTTTTGTTCTCTAGAACACATTGCAAATAACCAAAATAACATCAGCATAAACAAAGCACAGATGGATCTATATAATGATCTTTTACAGAATATATCACTTAAAGATAACTTTCAAATGCATAGTAAATATTCTAAGTAAAACGAATGACCCAAGTATTAATGATTAAAAATCACATCACTCTAAAACATTATTAATCACAAATGCACCAAGACACCACAGTAATCCAAATTTGTGGTCTTATTACAATATGAGAAGGTAGTATGTTATAGGAGGAGACATCTGGCATCAGAGCCAAGAACACCTGGGTTCAAGTCTTGCCTCTGACATACTAGCTATGTGATCCCAGGTCTCTCAGTAGTTTAGGAAACTTTCTAATGGAGTCATAATAGAGTTGCATACAAGATGCTCATCTGAATTAGAGGGCATTTCCTCACCAGAGAGTTCCCTATAAAAGTGAAATCAAAGGTCTGGTCTATATCTCTATATTACAATGCCCCAAGTTTTCATTTCCCTTTTGCCAATTTTTAATTAGTTCCATGAAGGATGCTAGCCATGTTAGACCTAAGAGGTATGGTACACATATGTGAATATAATGTAGTTGAGGTTTGAGTCAGATGGCTGGTTGGCTTGGTAGACAAGGGTAAGTAGGGGCTGTACTAAGACTGTCTCCACTGCTGTAATGTTCTGAATGAACCAGAAAAATATGGCAACCAGTGGCAAGCAAAGATAACCACTATATTCTCACCTTTAAAGACAGGTGACAATCTTCATACCTGAATGTGATACTAATGACTATAACCAAAGTTTTGAAGGAAGGATAGGTTTTCTTGTTCATCATCCACATTCCAAGTTTATCCTCAATTCAGCAATGTAAGGAAGGGGAAAATGAAGAACACTGTTCATTCATTATCTCAACACCACTTACATCATTGTTCCTGCTCAGAGAGTTAAGAGGCAGAGAGCTAAGAATGGAGTTGTCCTGGAACAGGCGATTGCGCAGCTGCCTCAGAGTGACTGAAAGGTCTTCAAATACGGCGTTTGCTTTCCCCACCATATACACTCTCTGAAACAACAACACATTTAAAGCTCATCCACACACTGCAGAGTCATTTCAACACATAAACAGTACAAGTAACAGCAGCTGTTTTTAGTTTATAATCAAGGTAGAAAAGTCTGAGATTTCTTAATGATAACGTACATATTTTTGTTAAACAGATGATGGAAATTTGATCTTTTTCTATATAGATTTTACATATGGGTCTCTGTTGAGGATTGTCAAGTTTATAATTAAAATAATTTTTGAAAAAATGAAGATAAGAAACAAGTTTGAAGACAGAAGGCAATTTTTGTTTTTAGAATATTTTTAAAAGTATATTACTTACTTCCTCACTAGGAGCCAACTGCAAAACTACAGGTGTTTCCTCAGAAAAAAACGTATGGATAGAATTTGCAACACTGTCAAGACTGAAAGGAACTGCCTAGGATACAAGAATAATACTTTATTTTAAAACTTTTACCAAAAAAGAGAAAAATAATTTGGAAACAAATCTTAAAAGGCTACTAGGATGATTATTGCTCGTGTGAAACTTCTCTCTATGTAAGCAAGTATATTATCTGTAGCAACTCAAGAGTCCCAAGTCACTACTTCCTTAGGAAATGCCATTAACTCATAGACTTAGCACTAGAAGGGGCCTGAGAAGTTAAATCTGATCCTCTCCTTTTACAGATTAGGGAAACTGAGGTCCTGAGAAGATAAGTGATATTCACAGAAGAACACAGCTAGTAAGTGTCTGAGATAGGATATAAATATAGGTCACCTTGATTCCAAATTCAGCTGTTCTATCATTCTAATCAATCAACAAGCAACCACCAAAGGATTACTGAGTACATCACTATTCCCTCCCAACCCAGCAGACCAAAAGATCATGCAAAAATGGCAAAATCTAGTAGTGAAATATGACACTGATTCCAAATGACCAGTCATTCCCTAATCAAGCACCAGTAAATTTTGTGAGTCTAGTGCAGGACTTCTCTCCTCCTAATGAAGATTACAACCATAAAAATCATAGGATCACAGGTCTAGAGCTGGGAGGGGCTGGGAGGTCATCTAGCCAACTTCCTCATTTTACAAACTATGAAACTAAGGTCTAGAGAGGTTAAATGATTTGCTCCAGGTCACAGGGCAAGGATTTGAATTCAGATCCTCTGACTTCAGTACTCTTTAGCAGTCTATAAATTAGATTTTTACAGAGTTGCCTGAGGCTCAAAGAGGTAAGTGACTTTTCCACAGCACATGGTAAATATCAAAGAAATTGAACCCCACTGATCAGGTCTTCCATTCTATTTACCATGCAATTCTGCCTATGTTCAATGTAAACCAAATGAAATTTAATTTTTTCTCTAATCCAAGATGCAATATAATTTTATAAGGGTAAGATGAGTGTAAAAATCCTTTAAAAGCATTTAGTGGGGCAGCTAGGTGGTGCAGTGGATACAGCACTGGCCCTGAAGTCAAGAAGACCTGAGTTCAAATCGGGCCTCAGACCAAACATTTGACACTTATTAGCTGTGTGACCCTGAGCAAGTCACTTAACCCCAATGGGAAAATAAAAGCATTCAGCTATAACCAGCTTCCTTCAGCCCACCACAATGTCTAAACATTCAGGTTATGTTCCTCTTTAAGCTTGAGAGCTCACTCTATAACACTCTTGGCAGCTTCTTCTTGAACTCTTCTCCTGAAGGTGAAAAGATAACTAAACAACACATACAAAAAAGTAAGGAAGCAAAATTCTAACCAGAATGACTGGTGCGCAGTGTCTCCCAAACAACAAAATCAATGTTTCACCAGCTCTTCTCCCTGATTTCTTTAGGGCCTATTCCTCAGAATGAGGAGAGAATTCTTCTTGTCCATACAATGAAAGGTTATCCTGCCCACAGTGAATAAGATCCAAGAAATCTGGAGCTCATCAAGTTTATTGATAATTTATGTATTTTTTCTTTATGAAAAAAAGGGGATAACTTCCTCATATTAATCAATTTATTAAAACAAACATAAGGAAATAGCTATATGCTAAAAAGTCACACATAAACAAAAACTAAACAAAAGCACCTAGTGACCATTCATAAAACAACACTCAAAAATCAATCTTCTAAAATACTCACATTCTCAAGAGGGTATGAAACAACACCATTCTTGAGTAAACCCAAACTGTCCACTCCCTTCACCGTCACCAAAACAGTAGCTCGAGGACGATGGAATAAGTTGCCCACAGCAAGTCCAGGCCATGAAAGATCCTAAATATTTAAAAGTATAAAATAAGGCTTAATTTTCAACTTAGGCAAGTTCCCTCCAAAACATCTAAGGAAAAAAAAAAACAGGGAGTAACAGGGTTAGCAGCAGAAGTGAAATTTTCAGCTAATTATGTAATGAGAAGTCTCCCAATATATTAGATGGAACTGTGAACAATTTATGGGGGAACACGTATGAGGACAGAATGAAAAGGTATCGGGGTTTCTAAATCAGTGGCAGGAAAATTTCCACTAAAAAAAATCACCTCTCACAGTATTAAATAATAATAGTAAATAAAAAGTAAATAAATAAGAGAATAAAATCATTCAAATAAACTCTTTTTGGACTAGAGAATTTAGTCCTATTTAAAAAAAAACCTAGGGTAAGGATAGCTAATACAGCTTAGAAACTTCAATATTTTTAGTGTTTAGTCAAATTAGAAAATTTATACCCATAAATTTGCCCTTAAACATGTTATGTCACTTTTCTTAAGTTGGTGTCAAAGAATAGTTTGCCTGATATTAAAGGTGTAAAATTTGCCAAATATGGCTGGCAACAGAGATGGGAAAAGAGGTTCTTTGAGGGTAGGAAGGTACATTTTGAAGCCTATGCAAATAGGTAGTTGGTAATGCACAGCTTTGTGGCATAAATACCAACACACAGAACAGGAACACAGATGTCATACCCATAATTATATTTTGTTGCCTGCTCATATCTTCTGTGTACCTCCATAGTGCTTGACCTTTGTGTGATACTCATCTTTCATTCTTTGGAAGTAGTGATGTTCCATGTCTTACTGCTATAGAGCAATACTAATAAAATGTTAATACCAAAAAGCCAGATGTGATGGAATACTACTGTCTTGTAAGAAATGATGAGCATGTGTTTTAGAAAACATGGAAAGACTTGCATGAAATAAGGCAGAGTGAAATGAGCAGAACCAAGAGAACATTGTATACAATGACAGGAATTCAAAGAGTTAACTGTGAATGACTAAGCTATTCTGAGTAATATGAACATTCAAATCAACTACAAAAGACTTACAAAGGAAAATGCTATCCACCTCCACAGAAAGAACTGACATACGGAAATATTTATTGTATGGTTCCACATACATGTCTATATCAAATGTGGGCCTTGAATTCGAGGTTGGGAGGGAGACAACTTGGATCAAAATGTAACAAATAAATAAACAAACAAACAAATCAGTGAAAAGCTGGGTCTTTGCTTTCATGTAAAGCATGAGGTCAGTAAAAAGAGCTCAGTAATTTCCTGAAAATGATCTAGCCTGCTCTCTTCCCCACTTTTCAACTCCATGCCCAGTTCATTTTCCATCTGTACGATTTCTCCCAAATACATGTGGACAAGTTTTCTAGGATTTCCATTCAAATTCATTTTGAAATCTGAGCAACAGTCTTCATCCACTTGGTCTCTCCTATGTGAATGGACATGTCAAACTCCTTTGACATCTTTTCCTTGAGGCTCAGCAGTGTCTTGGGAGCGCAACTGATACAATCAATATGGTACCTTCCAAACAGGAAGATCTGGAGGACCTGACCAACCACAAGAAACCCCTCCTTAACCTGGACTCTGTGCTGAATCTCCTCTTAACAGCAGTAAATACCTTTGACAATCATACATATTCCTCTTTTAGGCTTCACCTGATATTTATCATTAGAGGGTCACTAAATGGTTATTTCTGTTATTATATCTTCCAAGGAATTGTGAATGAACACGGTGCAGACAGATCTTGTACAAGTGCCTGTAAGACTGCATGTTGTTCTAATGAATCAAATGATTTTTTGTTGTCAACAGTAAGTACAATGAGATCTTATTTTCTCTTTCAGTTAATTCTGAAATGACAATGATTTGGTTCACTGTTGAATACTGTTTGTCAAAGTCTCCTTGCTCACTACTAGTGCCCTCATCAAAGATGCTCTCAATCTGTGTATGGGTAACACTCACAAATTTGTATAGTTGAGAGGGCATGAATGTAGGCCAGTACTTACTTCTGTTCTCTTGGTCTCCTTTCTGGTGGACATTCATAAGGTCCAAGCTTTCCCCCACACTTTTGGCATCTTCCCCTCCTCTCAGTTACCTTGAATACTGGTCCCTCAATATATTACCTCTAACACAGATATCTACACTTGTTTCAATCTAGCTGCTTTTGCCGTATTTTATTCCTTTTAGAACCATTTCTCCCTCCTCTATTATCACTTTAGGGAATGTGATTTAAGTGTGGTGCTTCCATTATCCCTGATAGAGAAAACAGTTTGTTGAAACAGATTTGTAAATTGTTTTTTTAACAAAAAAGTCAACAAGCATTTATTAATTGCTCACTTCATGCCAGGCACTGTGTTAAGCACCGAAGATACAATGAAAGACAACACAGTGCTTGTCCTTAAGGAGACTGGGAGAGACAACATGCAAACAATCAGGCATATACAAGATACATACAGTGTAAATAGAAGGTAATCTCAGAAAGACACTAGCAGTCAGAGGGGCTGTGAATAGCCTTTTGCAGTGGGTAGGACTTGAGCCAAGTCCAGGGAAGTCATCAGGAGATGAGGAAGGAGAATACTGCAGGCACGGGAGACAACTCATAAAAAGGAATGGAGTCTGAAGATAAGAGTATTATGTACAAGGAACAGAAGGAAGAGCTAAAAATAGAAAAGGTGGGCTGGATGTAAGGTGTAAGACTGGAAAGACAGGGAAGGTCCAAGTTATGAAGAACTTCAAAATCCAAATTGTGAATTATATATTTGATCATCAAGGTAATAGGGAACCACTGTAGTTTACTGAATAAAGGAGTGGCAGTCAGGCTTATGTTCGAGGAAGATGACTTGGGCAGCTGAATTGAAGATGAACTGGAGTGAGAAGATACTTGATTAACTAGAAGGCTATTGTAATTGTCTGGTGGGAAATGATGGGAGCCTACACCAGGGTGGTGGCTGTATAAGTGGAGGGAAGGGAATGTATGTGAAAGATGCTGTAAAAGTAGAAATGACAAGGTGTGGTAACAAACTGAAGATGTAGGGTGAGTGCAAATAAGGAGTTGAGGATGACACCAAGGGGGCAGCTAGGTGGCGCTGTGGATAGAGCACTGGTCTGGAGTCAGGAGGACCTGAGTTCAAATCCAGCCGCAGACACATAACACTTACTAGCTGTGTGACCCTGGGCGAGTCACTTAACCCTACTGCCTAGCAAAAAAAAAAAAGATGATGACACCAAGCCTGAGAAGCTGGGTGATGGGGAAAAAGGTATCATCAGTAATAAGGAAGTCTGGAAGAGGGAAAGAGTTTTGGGAGAACTTCGAGTTCTGTTTTCAATTTGAATGAGATGTCTTTGGGCCACGTAGCTTGAGATGTCCAAAACGCAACCAGTGATGCAAAACTGGACAAAGGGGGTCAGTTATATAGATCTGAGAATCATCTGCATAAAGATGATAAATGAACCCACGGGAGCTGATGAGATCACCAAGCAAATAGTACAGAGAGAGAAGAGGGCCTAAGACAGAGCCTTGGGAGGCACTCCACATAGCAGATGTGACCTGGAGGAGGATCCATTTTTCTTCCATTTGTAGCAGCACACTTTTCATTTTCACCTTTGAATGTCCTTGGAATGACTTTACTTTGCTGGATATCTTGCCAAACTTTCTTTAAACTGGTTTTAACCTCCACTGCTTCTCTCTGCTTTAAAAGATGATAACCAATCACCCTCATTCATAAGATTTTACAGAGGAGTTTATATTTTAACCTTGTCATTGAGGGCCATTTCTATTTGGTAAGTAAGTTGTTTGCTAACTAATGTACTTTCTGGATTCTTTCATTATTCTTGTAATAAAAATTAATTTACACTAGCTTAACTTGTGGACAAAACTATTCATTGGTGTTAATGTCTGTTGTCCCTCTCCCACTTCTGATCTTCAATAACTTATTTAAATAATTAAAGATTAAATCTTTTTAATCATATACTATATATTTTTTTCTTTTTTTCCAAATTCTGATCTCAGCTCTAACAAATCAGGTTTGATTGCACTCAGATGCAGACTCAGGGAAAAATCCCACATCAATAATAATTATTTTCCTGTCTGTTAATCAAATAAATATGTATATAGTAACTATATAAGACCAAATGTCATTCCCTAATGAACAAGTGATCAAAAAATAAGAACAGTTTTTAAAAGAATCACAAATTATTAACAACCATCTGAAAGACTGATTTCATTTCAAACCCAGCAAACTGGGGAAGATAAGATGAAAAGAGTCAATGAATGTTCTAAGGGCTACAGACAAACAGGCACACTAATGATCTATTAATCCATCACCAGTATTGGAAAACCAAATCAAATTGCAAGGCCATTTGATGGGGAGTCAGATACGGCTTTAAAAAAACTATTATAAACAACCTTAAAACAACAAAACCAATTAAAAGTACATTCAATTGCAACATTTATTAAGCATATTACATAAGCAAAGCATTAGCACTGGATATAGAAAGACAAAAGTAAAACACTCATCACTATTAGCAATTTTGAAAATTAACTCCAACATCTCTATTTTACCAATTACTCCATGTCCCATTCCATTTTCTTTGCAGATGTAACCTCTTTCATAGAATGAGACCTAAAATAATATCATTTGGCAATAAAGCCAAACAAAGTTTTCCAGAATCTGCTGATGGACTGACTGACTTTAGTAAAAACCAATAGAAGTGATTTCAAATAGTTTCAAATATTTTATTGAAAGTATACATACTTCTTCCACAGAAAAGCCCATGGATAATGCAGCCACATCTGGAATTCGATCTCCGGGTATTGGCCATTTTCCATCTCGGAAAACAACAGATTCTGGTGATCTTAGCACGCTAAACTCATTCCCCAATACACCTAAAAAAGAAACACAAAAGGTTAATTTAATTATAGTTTAAATACTAGCAAATTTCCCACCTCTACTTCCAAAGGTAGACTGAAGTGGACAACTTGGGATAGTTACATAAGGTTATAAATTTCAATAGATGGGCAGATGTGGATATAACGCATTACTGGAAGAAGTTCCCACATATTGATGAGATTTGTAGACCCTTTGGGGTATTGGAAAGAATCCAGAAAAGTGTTCATTATGCTCAAATTCTTCACATTCTCAAGTTGTCTTCACAATGCTAACTGCTACTACTATTCCTATACTAAAATTATCAGAGTAGGAAACCATAGGTTGCCTTCCACATACCTCCTTTCCCCCTATCCTATAGAGTCAATCATGAGATCTGGCTTATTGATACTCCACACTGGATTCTTTACTGTCACCATTTTTCTTCTTTTCCTAGATTCCTTAACAACTACATCCTCTAAAGGGGAAAAATACAGGTTTTCTTGATTTACCCTCTATTCCCTTTCCCCAGGTCCTCCAAAGCAGTACACTACTACATATGTATTTTAAAGGTATCTGTTACAAAGCACTACAGAGGAAACAGACACATATGGGTAAGGAATGAAAGGTACACATGCCCAGGAATATATTCTCTAACACCAAAAGATTCAATGCAGGAAAAGGCATTTTGGGAGTAGGATATTTTCCTCAGGTTAAAAGTAGAACTACGTGGAACATATACACGTGTGTATACATACAATGTATATATATGTACATATAAATATTTTTTTGGGGACAGAACCTATGATTTCAATGGATCTTCTGGAAGATAATTTTTACTACCAATGCATGTATATTCTAAGAAACAAGTTGCCTTGGTCACTGAGCAATTAAGTGACTTGTCCAGGGGTGGATTTGAATGCAGGTTTTCCTTATTTTGATGGCTCTTTAATCTAGACTTATCATACCACTTTTTTCAGTTTAACAATTATGTTAAAATAACATAAACTGAAGTATTGAGAAAATTGGGGAAACTGCCCAGACTGCAAAGGTACAAACAGCCTAAGCTCATTTTCAGGTTCCTGTTATGTGGAAAGTGGTTCCTAGTCCATAAAAGTCTAGCCATGCTTGGTATGATAGAAGCAGACTTAAAAAAAAATCCAACCTTACTAAGCACGTTAATAGAGCTAGAATAGTAAACAAATTCTGGTGGTACCAACAGTAAATATAAAACCTTAGAATGGTGTTTATACCAACAGAAAGTGATATAAACAAATAAAGTACACTCACTAAAGCAAGAATTTCTAAAATTTTTCTTGATATAAAACTAGGCAGCAATTAGTAAGGGAAAGAGACCAGTGATAATACATATCTGGTACTTACAGTTAAAGAATTATAGAAGGAATATATGATTTGAGGGTCTTGCCTACTCATCCATCATTTCAGTGTTATGGCTGCTATAAAATACCTCATCTCAGCTTTGCAGATATATCCAATTAACTTTCAGACCTACAAAGTTTTGGCCATACTTAAGAATAACATATGAACTGATAGCATAAAAATCAATACTAAGTATTAGGAACAGGTCACATTTTCCATTTCTATTTAAAATTTATCTGCAGATTTCTTTGAGGTTTAGTCTAATTTCTTTTAATCAGTTCTTCCTGGTTTGCCTATAGTCATGATTCTTACAGAAATCCATTGTAGATGCAACCATACAAGTACAACCTTGTTCAACTTAGTATCAATAAATGGAAGAAGAATGTACATCACCCATATCAACTACAGATGGACAGACAGCCTACTGAAATCCACTCCTCAGCATGTCTTGACAGAAGCCACAAATGGACAATGAACTGGTACCAGGGATGAATAGGAGGAGGCAAAAATATATGCTAGATGATGATGATGATGATAATTGTAGCTAATATTTATATAGCACTTAAATGTGTAAGACACTGTGCTAAGTGCTTCACATTTATAGTTGTATGATACTTTCTAAGATGTCTAGCTGCTCCCTACCTCAAAAGCCCATCTTTTTTCGCATCAATAGTTTCCTAATGATGCTATCTATATATATTTAGATGGCTTTAACTCATGAAATACCTTAATCCTAAAAGAATCAGAATTTCAGGTTACTTAAAAAACAATAGAAAGATGACAGATCCAAATAAGACACTACATATTGCCTACTATTGCTTGTTCCCAAGCAAATGGTGTAAATGACTTCATATACGGTCATATATATGACCAAAAAGGTGGAGGGCTAGTTTCCAGAGTGAGGAAGATAGGTCAGCTTGAGTGCTACACTGGTGTTCAAAAAAATTATTAAAAGTAGCAGTGGAAAACTGCTAGCACATTAGGCAGATCAGCAATGTAAAATTAACAGAGAGACACAAGATTGCAATCTAGACATTAATGGAGAAATTATACATGTTAGCCAAACCACATTTCCACTCAAGTGCCTATTTATCTAATGGTGTTTTGTTCACCTAGAATCTGCTTTTCTAAACAATTTCAACTCCATGACTGCCTAGCATATTCCTTCCATGTCATACTGTAATGAAATGATTTTACTCTGCAAAACATATTGCCCAGTATATGTTAATTAATAAATCACAAAAGCTACTGGGCAGCTAGGTGACACAGTGAACTAGGCCTGAAGTCCAGAAGACCTGAATTCAAACCCAACCTCACACACACACACACACACACACACACACACACACACACACACACACACACACACACACACACTAGCTGTGTGACCTTAGCCAAGTCACTTAACTCCTATTTACCTCAGTTTTCTCAACTATAAAAAGGGGATAACAATAGCACCTACCTCCCAGGACTGCTATGAGCATCAAACAAGACAATATTTTATAACGTGCTTAGCACAGTGCCTGACATACAGTAGGGGTTATATAAATGCTAGCTATTATTATGCTGCTCAGGCTCCTCATTAGCCTTCTTGGCTGCCAAAGAACACTACTGATTCAAACTAAGCTTGCAATTCATTAAAACCAGAAGATCTTTTCCTCCAATAAACAGCATGTTGTCTAACCATGTCTCCTCCATCTTGTACTTGAAAAGTTGATTTTTTTAAACAAGTGTTAGATTTATATTTATTCTTATTAAATTTCATCTTACTCAATTTGACCAATTTGTTCTAGGCAGTTATTAAAGTACTGCTATCTAGTCTTAGCAGTATCTCTCAGCTTTTGTGTAATCTGCAAACGTGATAAGCATGCTATCTACACATTCACCTTCCAAGTCACCGCTAAAAATGTTAATTAACACTACACTAAGGACGTCTATCAATGCTGACAAAAAACTAATTTTTTTTCTTTGAGGCCAAGTTTTTTAACCAGTTCTAAATCCATCTATTACAGTACTCCCTAGCTCACATCTCTCCATCTTTCTAGAAAAATAACATGAAATGTTAAACAGTTGAGGGCGGAACCAATATGGCAGAGTAGCAGGGAGCAGTGCCACTAGCTTACCAGTTGGCTGACAATGGCTGAGTTCACTGACACCAACAGTCTACAGTGGCTCAGACCCAAATCCAGGTGAGAAACTTTCAGAGCTCAGACCGGGAAGATAGCAATCAAATTTTGCCCTGTATCAGACCATTTTGGGAGCCTTGAAAGTTTGCAGATCCCTAGCCTGAGCTGCCCCTGAAATATTGGAATAACATAACACTTAATACCCCCAAGAAAGAAACAATAGGATCAGCCCAGATTTTCCCTCCAGAAGTACACACAGCCCAGTCCTAACAGCTAGTCTGTAGTCAGGAAGTGGGCTCGAAGAATGAGCAAACACAAAGCAGAAACCTACCATAACAAGCTATTATAAAGATAGGAATATTCAAAACACAAAGCTTAAAGAATATCTTACAAGCAAAGCTTCAAAGAAAAAGACAGTTTGGGAACAAAATAACATCAGATAATATTTGTAAAGCACTTAGCACAGTGATTGGCACATAACAGGAATAAAACGCTCTAGTATGATGTCTATCAGATTGCTTGCTATCTGGAGGAGGGGGGCAAGGTGGGAGGGAGAGAGAAAAATTTAGAATTCAAAATCTTTCAAAAAATGAATGTTGAAAATTGTCTTTACATGTAAGTGAAAAAAATTAAAAAATGCTCTTTCCCTCTCCCCAACTCCCTGCTAAAATTTAGGTAATCACTGATAGTTAAGGCCCGATAACCAGGGGTGTACCTTCAAGACTTTGTCAGTCAATAAATATTTATGAAGCACTTTCTAAGTGCCAAGCACTGTGCTGAGTGCCAGGGATACAAAAAGACAGTCCCTGACCTCAAGGAGCTCACAATCAAATGGAAGAGACAATAAGGAAACAAAAATGCCATATACAGGGTAAAGAGGAAATAATTAAGCGGGAAGGCACTTTATTAAAGGTGATTGGGAAAGGCTTCCTATAGAAGACAGAATTTTAGCTAGGCCTTGAAGCCAAGAGGTAGAGATGAAGAGCAAGAGAACTTCAGGCATGGAGGATGGCCAGAGAAAATACTTGGAACTGAGGGATGGAGTATCTTGTTCCAGGAACAGCAAGGAGGCCAGTATTAATGAATTAGGTAGGAGGGAGTAAGGTATAACAAGACTGGAAAGGTAGAAGTGGCTAGGTACTGGTTGAACACCACACAGAGAAATTTGTATGTGATCCTGAAGACAAGAGAGAAGCCAATGGAGGACAGAAGGAGGGGACGGGATGAGGAACCATGGTAGGACCATACCTTAGGAAAATCACTTTGAAGGATGGATTGGAGTGGGAAAAGCCTAGTGGCAGGCAGACCCACTGGCAGCTAATGCAAAAGTCAAGGTCTGAGGTAGTGAGGGCCTGCATCAAAGTGGTGGTAATATCAAAATTAAAAAAGGGGGTATAAGAGATGTTGCAAAGTTGAAATCAATAGGTCTTGGCAACAATTGAGGATGACACCTAGGTTTCATCTGAGGGACAGGGAGGATGATGTTATCCTCTACATAGGAAGGTACAGTCAGGGGGAATGTTTGGGGGAAAGAAAATGAGTTCAGTTCTGAATACAGTGAGTTTAAGATGAATAATGAACAAACAATCCAAGATGTCTAAATGTCACAGCAATCATAGGACTAAAATGACTAATGACTAAAAATCATTGCTTTTGTATTCATCCTGTTACCTGCTCTTGATTCCATCTCTTACTGACATTTTTCAAAAAGCTAAGTTAATTAGAGAGATCCCAGGGCATCCATTTATGGTCTCTTTAGACAACTCCATGTTTTTTGTAGTCTCTTTTTCCTAAATACATTATGACCAGATTTCTACCCATAACATTCTTAAACAGTATGACACTTATTCTAGATCTTTCCCAATGGCAGAGAAAGGAAAATGGCCAAGTGCTTTCCACATAGAAAGCTGTTAATAAATGCCTTTTTTCCATTATCATCACCATCATTTTTAGTGCCTTTCTTTTCATTGTAATTTCCATCACCCAGGTAGCAATCAGGGCAGAGAGACAACATGTCAGAAAGAAGTTCTCTTCTCTACTTTCAACACTCTTAGATATACCACAAACAAATGTTCATCTTAATTACTTAGTCTTTTTATCTTTTCTCTATAATTACCAACCTTTATACCTTTCCTGGAGGAATATCCCCATAACTAGATTTCAGGTTCAAATCCTTCTTGTTGCTACCACAACTCCTCCCAGAAGCTTATTTTGGTTCTTATGAGTTATACAGAAGATCTTCAGGGGCTAGAATTTCAATTTAAAAAATTCTTTGAAACATGGAATCCTAATTTCCTAACCTAAGCAGGATTCCCATCTATTATATTACTGACTGGTCATCTAGCCTCTACCTTTGGATATTTCTAGTGATAGGGAGCTCACTACTTAAGAAGACACTCAATTCAAGACATTCTGTTCCACTGTTAAGAGTTACAATTGTTAGAAAATTATTTCTTCTATTTCTATGAGCTGAAATCCAACTTAGTGATATCCGTCTATCATGTCCTACTTTTGACCTTTAAAGCAACACCAAACTAATCTAATCCCTCTTACACATATCTAAAGATGGCAACTTTCTGATATCTCTATCTCTTCTTTAGATCAAAGAATCTAGTCTTTCAACCATGCCTCATATAAGACGGTTTTGAAACCTTCTGCTTTCTTGAATTCTACCTTACTGGAAAGTACTAGAAGAAAATATCTACTTTTTTTTTTCAAACAGAGAAGCTGGTCTCCTTAAAGATATTTCTCACTAAAACACATTCAGTCACTGGGAAAAACAGTATGATGTAATGTCAGCTGACAAGCACAGCTAAGGCAAAAGTTGACTAAATCAGTTTCTTGGGTTGTGTGTGCTGGATTAAACTAGTAAGAAAATACCAATACATTTTCACAAAATGTATACAAAACATAATTTTACCTTAGGCAAGAAAATAACCTAAGCCAAATTCCTCCTACTACAAAAAACACAGTATTAACGATACTACTAGAATTAAGTGAGCATTAAAATTCCACTGGCTTGAGGACACTGTGGTGGAAGGATCACACTGGATCCTAAGAAAGAGTTTCTCTGCCATTTAAACTTGTATGACCTTGGGCAAATGAATTTAACTCTCCACTCTCAGTTCCCTCATCTATAAAATAAGGTAATCAGAAGATCTATTCAGATACTTTCAAACTCTAAATTCACTGAACATGTCTAAAGTCCATTTCAAGCTTATATATACACTACAAATTTAGACACTAAAGTTTTCAAAATAAATGGCTTTCTTAATTAAAAAAAGCAAAACAAAATCTGTAATTTTATTAAAAATCCAAGTCTGGGGAAAAAAGCAAGGCCTCTATAACTAGTTTTAGATTGCAGGTATTTTCCAAACAGGATGGTAGTGGGTACTATATACTGGAAAAAAACATGACTGGTGGTCTTCTGCAGAGACCAAGACATAAGGTAATCTCTTCACTCCTGAAGACTGTGACATACTGTGCACAAACTGAACTGAAGAAAAAGGATTTACTGAATTTCACAGGACCATATTAAGAGTTATTAGCAATTTAAGACACTACAGCTTCAACTGCAATTTAGTTGTAATAAGGGGTTGGATTAAATTTGTACGTGCCTTCTTCATACATTATTTACATGTTGTCGCCTCAATTAAAATGTACTCTCCTTGAGGGCAGGAACCATTAAAAGTCTTTGTCTCCCCAAAGCTTAGTGACTTACACTGGCCGACTGACAGACTGGATGGGCTCCCCACAGGACTAGAGACGTGCAACGACATGAGATACAGACCCCGGACCTCTGCCCCAACAGGCAGGGATAAAGAGGAGACAGGTTGGATGGACAATTCTCCCATACTGGGGAGACAAGGGGGTAGGGCTACAATATCATATGCATTTTTTAGGGGCTGCCTTATTAAACAGTAGCAAGTAGATCCTTTCCTCAAGTCATTTATATAGGAGGCAACAACACGATGCCCCCCCCACCAAGCCCCTGACAAAAAAGATGGCTTCCACTGCAGGATCGTCACGACAGCCGTGCCACCTCCATCTTCCAGGAACCCACGCAGTGGAATCGAGGCTGGGGAATGGGAATGGAAGTGGATCTGGAAGCGAGGCTAGGAACCTGGAGGTGGAAGGGGTGGATCTGGAAGAGAGGCTGGGGATGGGAAGGGGGAGTCGAGGAATATGAAAACGAGGCTGGGGACAGGGGGGGCGATGGGGGGGCGTGGTGGTTGGAGGCGGCTCGCACAGGGTCACGAGACTCTCGTCAGGTTCCACCCCCCCCATAGACCCCTCCCAGCGATGACAGCACTGCGGCACTAGAACGCAGGTCCACTTCCCTCTTTTCCCTCTGCCAAAGAACCAGTGGATTCCCCGCCCCACCCCCACTCCCGGCTCTTCCTCCGACACAGTCCGATCTCCCCCCCCACACAGGTTCCTCTCTCTATCTACAAGGTGCTCATTCCCCCGTTCCTTCATCCATCCCCCACCCTGCCTCTTTCCCTCAGGCTTCATCTACACACCTAGTCCCTCCACCTCTATCTACTCCGTTCTTCCCCGCCCCCCCTTCTCCTTCCCGGGTCTGCGTGAGCCCGGACATCCAGAAGCACATGGTGGCCAGGGGCACCCTCAGGTTCCCCACAACGACCCGGAGCTCCTTACCAGGAAGGAGCAAAGCCAGAAGGGCGAGCACAGCCATGGTAACAAACCGGCAGCGGCGACAGCAACAGCACGAGCAGTCACCGCAGCCGCAGCCTCCGAGCCGAAGAGGAAAGGGGAATGACGTTTCCCAGATCCCGCCCCCCGCCTTTCTCTGCTTTTTCGCCTCCTCGCACAGCCCCCCAGCTGATTCCGCTGCCACACTCTCCGCCAATCAGCTGTAAAAGCCTGCCTCCCTGTGGAGGTGCAGCTTCCGTTGGGTCGGGAGTGGGAGCGGGGCCTTCAGTGACTGATGGGGAATATCAGCCAATGGGAGGGAGCAGCTGGTTTTTCTGGGGAAGCCACGCCCCTACGCTGATCTGCAGTCACGGGGCCCTGGGTGGTAGAGCCGGCCTTGGGGAAGCTGGGGTGGGTGCAAAGGATTGATTGTTTCTCCAGTGCCTTCATCTCTCTGTCTTCTTGTCGCAGACCTCTATCTGCCTCCCATCCCCCGTCAATTCCGTTATGTAATGCAGCAAGTAAATGCTAACCAGGTTCAGCTAAATGCAGAAGGATTTAAACCATCTTGGCTCTCACTCTGCGGGGTGGGGGAGGGGAGAGGGAGCTGAGCTGAGCTGAGCTGGCTTAGTGCTTGGTTGTGGAGGGCGGCGTGCATTCATCCCCTAATTTATTTAACAACCTGGGATGTCCTCCTTGACCCCCCACTCTCTAACACCTCTCTGTCCCATATCCGGTCTGTTGTCAAGATCTGTCGATTTCACCTTTGTAAGAGCTCCCCAATACGCTCCGTTCTTTCCTCTGATATTGCCACCACCCTGGTGCACCCCATCGCCTTATACTTGGACGATTGCAATAGCCTCGGACTCAGGTGTCTCCCCACTCCAAGGGATCTTTCTGAAGCACAGGTCTGACCAGGTTTCTACCCTTCCCCCACCCCCACACCTCCTCACTCTAGCAGCTCCCTATCATCTCCAGGATCAAATAGAAAATTCTCTGGTATTGAAAGACCATCATAATCTTGACCCTCCTCTCCCCCACCTTTCCAGTCTTCTTAGGCATTAACACCATATAGTATTGGGTTCCTAAGGGGTTGAAAAATATTTCTTCTCTAGTGACAGGCAGCATCTGCAACTTACAGTGGCCAGCAGAGAGCTAGAGAGCTGAATAAAGTGACGTCAGTGTTGTAGATCCTAGGCCTAGAGTAGGTGGTTTTCGGCTATCAACCTTGCCAAGGTTCTTTTCTCTATTCCTGTGGCTGAGATTAGGCAGCAGTTTGCTTTTATCTTGAAGGAGTTAAGTGTTCAAGTCTGAAAGAAGCCTCCCTCCCTTACTAAGGGCGTTGGTGTATACTACTACATTGATGACATAATGTTGACCAGCCCAGATGAAGCCATGATGGCAGAATCCCTAGATCAGCTGGGGGCCCATATAAGCAATAAGGAGTGGGTAATCAACCCTAAGAAAATCCAGGCTCTAGTCTACTCAGTCTAGTTTTAGGGAATACAGAAGGTGGGGAAAACCCAAAGGATTCCAGGCACAGTCTGGAATAAAAAATATTGACACTTGTTTCCTCACTATGCAAAAAAGAAGCCCAGAGACTTAACTGGATTCTTTAGCTTTTGGAAAACCAATGTTCCCTACCTGGATCTTCTGATGGCTCCCATTTACCAAGTCACTGACAAGTCTGTTTTTCAATTGGAGTCCAGAACAGACTACATCCCTGGGAGATGTAAAGCAGGCTGTTCCTTGGGTCCTTATTATCTTGCAAGGCCCATCTCTGTCCATAAAGACTAGGGCAGGTAAAGCCTTTGGCAGGCACCAAGGGATGACTTAAATAAGCCGCTACTAGGTATTTGGAGCTCCAAACTCCTCAAAGCAGCCACTCATCACACAGCTTTTGAAAAGCAGTTGCTTCCACGTGTATAGTTGTCAAGGTATGGGAGGGAGGGAGAGAATTTGGAACTCAAAGTTTTAAAAAATGAATGTTAAAATTTTCAAAAATGTAATTGGGAAATATTTAACAAAATAAATAAAAATATATTAAAAAAAAAGAATGAAAAGCAGTTGCTTGCCTCTTGCTAGGCCCTAATTGCTACTGAACAGATAACACCAGGTCATACAATCACCCATTGTCCAGAGTTACCTAGTATGGGTTGGGTGATAACAAGATGGTTTCTTTAGTAAGATGGGTAGAGTGCAGGAGGCTTCTATTGCTAAGTGGCAAAGATATGTCAGAAATCACACTTGTTGATATTCTTGCTCTTCACAAACAGGTGAAGACTAGGAGCTGAGGTCCTTGGATCAGGCCTTGGAACCCTGCCTCTTCTGCTGACCCAGTGGGCTCTCGCCTGTAAAACCTTAGTTCCTGAGGAACATCTTTTTGTCTGATTAATTGATTATCTCATCTGCCACAAGAGAGGCTTGCCAGCTAGACTGCAACAGCCACTAATAGGAGATATTCTAGGCAATAAGGTTACTGGTAAGTGCTTCTATTTTGCTGAGCTCCAGGCCGCATGGCTGGCATGTGAGAGACCCTTGAAGGATAAGGTAGGCAAGACCATCATTTATACTAGTTCCTGGGTAGTGGCCAGGTCTACCCAAGTAGTGTGGGGTCTGGAGAGGACAGGACTGGATGATCAAAGGTGAGAACCTTTGGAGTCAGGACCCCTTGGAGTCAAACCAATAGAGGGACTTTGCTGATGCCTCCCTCTGCATACAGTTGTTTGTGGAACTTGTCAGCTCCCATCAGAGATGTATGCTCAACAACCAGGTTGGAGCTATTACAAGAGTAGCAGAAGTTGGGGATTAGATCCAGTGTCCATTTGGGTGGTGATACCATGCTGTGTTGGGCAAAGGACCATATGATCCCCCTCACTACAAACAAGGCAACTGTTCCTAACTCAAGTGTCCCTCAACCTGTCCCTAATTGGCAAAATGATGCTGTCTCATCATGGGGTAAAAGGTTAGTTCCTACTGACAAACAGGTGCATCATTAAGCATTTGACTGCCCAACCTCCCAGAAGCCATGACCATGATAAATTGATGCTACTCTGGAAAGGGGAAGGGCTTCTTTGTTCAGTGGTTTCTTGGATCCAGTATCCAGGAATTCCTGATTGGATTCCTGATGAGAATGGACTATTTTAGAACATAGTTCTAGCTGATTCTCTCCATCCCTTCTTGTTCCTTCCCCAGCACAGAATTGCCTTGGCCTCAGGGTCCTTGTCCCCTCATAAGACTCTACATACCCTGGAGAAGTAGCTCAAGTGCCCCTCAGCTGGTGGACTTCTGTTTCACAGGTAAACACACAGGAAACACCATTTATTGGGCAGGAGAACACAGGAAGGCTCCTAACACTAATAGGTGTTCTAGCACAGGTTCACTTTTGATTCGGTCAGACAGGAAGACAGCTTTGGAGGTGTTGAATAAACTTTATTCTAGTTTAGTCTTCTCAAAAAAATTGCTGATAATGGGAGCACCAAATGATATAGTATTCCCTAATCACACTTCTCGAAGGGGCAGGCTAGAATGGTAGGACCTACAACTCCTATCTCATTCCCCTAAACCTCAATGGGGGCCAGTTGAGGCAAACACACAGATTCTTCCCAAGCCTTGATGGGAGCCAATCAAGGCAGGTACATCCATTCTTCTATGCATTACCCAAATCCCAAAAAATGGGTTCCCTCCTTACTGACCAGTGCCCACTTGATTTATAGGGCAACAGGCAAAGAAGGCATCTTGCCAACATTAAGCTCACATGTTAACTTTAGCAATATTGTCATGACCTAGGACAGCGCAGGCATACATCATGTCACCCCTGTATCTCTACTACAACTGCACAGTAGTTGTTTTCAGCCATAATTTGTGGAAATATTAGCTAGAATGCTAGAACTGTTATGTAAAAAGAATAACAAAATCTTCTTTACACACACTAAAATCCACCTTACTTACAACTTCCTTTCCTTTGGGATGGTTCAAAGAACTTTTCCCTAGAAATCAGTTGGGAGAACAAGAGGTGGTATTGTTGGGAGGCATCTTGCTTTCTAATAGCACGAGGAGGTGAAACTGTTGCTATATATCTGGTGAGTATGTTTTTCCTCAGAAGAAAGGAGATACCTTAGTTGACTTGGTGATAATTCTGAGTCACTGCATGAGGGTGAGGGAGAGTCTTTATTTAGCCACTATAGAAGAAAGGGGTAACTCCTCCACCGAGGCATCTAAGGGGGTAAAGATTTTATATCAGTCCTATGATGGAGCTCTCAAGGAGGAGGAGGTTTGGCAGGTGGATCAGGAAATACTGAGTGATCGGTGGTACTGGGAGAGTCTCAGTATCAACTTATGTCCTGGGACAGGTTGCATGCAAGAGGCTTATTGACTTCTTAGCCACTTTACAGGTGACCCTGATACAGGATGAAAAATTGGCAGTCCCAGAAGTGTCAATCCTCCCTCCTTTGGAAGGACCGAGTCTCAAGTCTTTTACAGGAGAATCTTCCTAGCGCAGGTAGTACTAAGGTAAAATGGGGAAACAGAAACAAATGAGAAACAAAATGTAGAGAAATACAAAAGCCAGAAGTCCTTCAAAGGAAAGATGATATTCCTGGAGCTGCTCCTGCTCATCATTACCACCTCACTTCAGGAGAAGAAATGTTCAATCATACCAGAGGTGTTATAATCTGTACTGTGGCTCTGATATTCTTGGTACTGCTCTGGTTTATCACCACTTTGTATTAGGACTGAAATTCACCACTATGAATTTCAAAGATGTAGCATCACCCATCACATTGACCAAACTGTGAGACTTTGAGACTTAGTTTTTTTTTTTTGAAGGAAGAAGGAAAGGCTTAGGACTTCTGGCTTTTGTATTCTCATACATTTTGGTTTGTTTCTATTCCCCACTTTTACCTTAGTGCTGCTCATGCTAGGAGTACTCTCCTGTAAAGATTTGAAACTTGGTCCTACCAAAGGAGGGTGGAAAGGCCAAGAATTTCTGATATTGCTGTCCACATTTTTGTTTTGTTTTGGTTTTGCTTTGTTTGTTTTTATTTTTTTCTTTTTCCCTCCCTCAATACTATACATGACAGGACTGTCATTGAAATGATGAAAGTCTACTAGCAGTTTATTAGGACCTTGCCACCAAGGAGTAGTATGAGATGTAACCGTAATTTTTCCTGATTTAGCTTCCTTGATGTCTCTTCACTTCCCTGATACAGATTCTTCCCCACCTCCACAAAACCTGTTTGACTTCAGCTTCCTTGACCCAGCTTCCTGGTCTGGGGGCATAAAAGGTCTCAGCAATGCTTAGTCAGGGTCTTTCGGACTTGGTGGGTGCCTGAGACTATCATACCCTGATAACTTACAGATGAGTTTCCAGATGGAGACAAGGAGGACTGAGTTCAGAGAAGCTAAATGTCACCATATCCTTGTATATTCTTGCTATGTTAAGACAGAGAAATTACATTGTGCTTGAAACAGTATCAATAGTATATTTCAATGACATAGCATGTTCAATACTAGGAAGAAAAGTTAATGAAATTACTAGGAGAAATAGAAAAACTATAATAGTTGGTGATCTTAACATACCACATTCTTTTAAAAAACAGTTTATTATTTTTTATTTTTCAAGTAGCAAATATTTTTTAAATTAATCTACCCTTCCCATTATCTCCTCATACCCCCTATCAAGCAAATTTTTAAAAAAGCACTAAAACATTTCTCAACATATAGATACTTGTTTGGCAAAACAAATTCACATATTAACCACATCTTAATATGTATGTCATATCTCTTCCTGGATTTTATGTTCATCACTGTGTCGAGGGGGAGGGGGAGGGAATAGCATATTTTCTCTTCATTCTTTTGGTTTCATGTTTATCATTGCTTTTAATCAGAATTCTAAATAGAAATTCAGAAAATCAAAGAGGGAAATAAAGTGAAAAAAACTTATTGAACTAATAGATAAAACTAGGAGGCTTTGGGGGAGATTAGTAAAATATATAAAATATTCTAAAATGTTAATATAAAAAATGAAAAAAGGAGAATTCATAACAAATTAAGAAGAAACAAAGAATGAGGAACTGTTTTGCCTCATTATATGTAAGCAAAATCGATAAGTTAAATGAAATGGATATTTACAAAGAAATAAAATATTTATATTAACGGAACAAAAAATAGACATTTTAAATAACACAATTCCAGAAAAACAAATTTAACAAGCTATAAAATGAACTCCCAAAGAAAAATCCTCAAGACTAGATATATTTATATGTGAATTGCATCAAACATTCAAAGAACAATTAACTCTAGTATTACACAAACTATTTGAAAAAATAGGAAAAAAAAATCTCACCAACTTCCATTTGTGATACAAATGCAGTCCTGATACTTACGCCAGCTAAAAATAAAGCACAGAAGTAAGACTTACAGACCAATTTCCCCAATTAATATCAAAGCAAAATTATTGAATATAATATTAACAAAAGCTACAATGGTATTAAAATATTACACATGATGACTAGGTTTATTTTATATCAGGGATGCAAAGTTTATTCATTATTAAGAACTTGATAAAAATAACAGACCACATTGGTAATAAAATATTTAAAATTACATGGCTATATCAATAGATACATAAAAGGTTTTTGAAAATACAGCAATCATTTTTGTTAAAAATATTAAAAAGCATGAGAATAAATGGACTATTCCTTAATATGGTAAAAATATCTATATAAACCAAAGAGTTAGGATTCTCTGCAATGGAGAAATATAAAAACCCTTTCCAATAAGACTAGAGGCAAAACAAGTATGTCCATTGTCACATCCATTAATTGATGCAATTTTAGAAATGCTTGCTGTAGTAAATAGACAAGGAAAACAATTTGGTGGAATAAACACAGGCAAAAAGGGGGGGAAAGACCACTTTTTAAAGATTATATAATGGTTTAGTTAGAGAACTCCAGAGAGTCAACTAAAATTCATTGAAACAGTAAATAACTCCAGAAAAGCAGCAGGATATAAAATAAACCCACATCAATTATCAGCCTTCCTATATATTACTACCCCTTGAGCACTATCTTGTTGTGGTGGAAGGACTTGCATAGCTCCATAAAATTAAGAACTATGCTGTGCAGGGTTACCCAAGATGGACAGGTCATAGTGGAGAATTCTAACAAAAGGAGCTTCTGGAAAAGGAATTGGAAAACCTCTCTTAATATATCTTTGCCAAGAAAACCCTATGTACATGAGAGTGTAAAAGCTAGCTTGAAGCTTGGCATAAAAAAATACCTAAAGACCTTGGCAACAGGTCCCACTACTTTATGATAAATAGAAGGGGAAGAAATGGAAGCAATGTCAGATTTTATATTCTTGGGATCAGAGTTCACTGCTGATGGTGACTGCAGTCATGAAATTCAAAGACACTTCCCCCTTGCACGGAAAGTTATGGCAAATCTGGACAGCATACTAAAAAGCAGAGGCATTATCTTGCTGATAAAGGTCTGTGTAGTTAAAGCTATGGTTTTTCCAATAGCAATATGTGGCTGTGAGAGGTGCATTATAAGGAAAGCTGAGCACGTTCTGGGACAGCAAGGAGGTCAAATCAGCCAATACTTAAAGAAGTTAATTTAGGCTCTTCACTGGAAAGTCAAATACCGAAGCTGAAGCTTAAATACCTTGGCTACATAAATGAGAAGACAGGACTCACTGGAAAAGACCTTGATGTTGGGAAAGACTGAAGGCAAAAGGAAAAGGGGCCAGCAGAGGATGAGATGGATAGATAATGTTGTCAAAATAATGAACATGAACTTGGACAGACTTTGAGAGACAGTGGAAGGTAAGAGGGCCTGGTGTGCTATGGTTCATGGGGTCCCAAAGAATCAGACACAACTGAATGACTGAACAACATATATTATCAACAAAACCCAGGAGGAAGAAATAGGGAAATTCCATTCAAAATAACTATAGAATATGTAAAATATCTGGAAGTCCACCTACCAAGGCAGCTAAGTGGCAGAATAGAGAACATAGGACCTGGAGTCAGGAAGCTCTAAGTTCAAATTCAGCCTCAGACACTTGCCAGCTGTGTGATCCTGGGCAAATCTGTCTGCTCCACTTTCCTCATCTGTAAAATGGGCATAATAATAGTAACTATCTGCCAGGGTTATTGTTAAGATAAAATGAGATAATATTTGTAAAGCCCTTTGCAAACCTTAAAGTGCAATATAAATACTAGCCATTTTTAGCTATAATATAATTATAAAACACTTTTTTTTAAAGACAGGTCTAAATAATTGGAGACATAATT